CACTGACTCCAAAAAAAATTTGGGGGCCCGTACGCGGGTACTACGCGGGGTTTTGGCGCCAATTTTGGGGATGGGGGCCCGTACGTGCATGTAGATTATGCCCCAAAGTTTCAGCACCGTAGCTTTTACTGGTCTCGAGATGAAAAATCGGTACAGACGAACACACAGACACATAGACGCACAGACACACAGACACACACACAGACAACCTTTCGTCAATATGCGTTTTCTGCTTTGCATGCTGCAAAAAACGCATAAAAATTGGCCAGCAAAATTTGAACCATCACAAACCCCACTCCAGCCCACAAATCCCTCCTCACTTCTGCTATCCGCCCCCTCCCCTCTCCCCGTCCCTATTCCTTCCTATCAATGCCCTTGATCAACCTAATCCTTACCAAATGTCCTTGCCGTCATCCATCTCGATGCAACAGCGATTGCGATCCGAGGTCCAGCGGCCAATATGCAAATTGTTGGATTCAGATGGTAGTGTCAAAATACGAAAAGTGATAGATAAAATTTATTCTAGAATCTTTCATTTTGTTCTTTTGTGTATCCATAAAAAATATTTAAAAGAGGATCACAAGGAGGGAGAAGCAAGAACTTCTGGGATAGGAAAAGCAGTTATTTCTAAAAACAGGGAGCGCTGGGAGACGGCGATTACTGGGAGCTAGTTACAACTTCTAGCGGCGAATTGAACGAAAATAAGAAGATCGCTTGCGAACGCTGGGAGCCGGAAGCTGCGAGATCCGTAGACAACTGCAACATTCTTTGGAGTTCTCAGACTTTGGTGTTCGTACGTTTATCGTTGAATTACGTTTATGTTGTGTTTTTGGATTTGGTATATTAAAGTAAGAAAATGAGCCCTTTGCTTGAAGCACAGCTATTTGATCATAGGCATAAATCAAATGATCAACACCAGATGTAGCTTCATAAAGAATACGGTAAATTCTATATTTGCCATAATATAATTGCACAAACTTATATGCATTTCATTTATTTACATATACATATATATGTATGTATACATAGTTATATGGATGGAAGACGTGGAACACCACTCTTGCTGAAGAGCGGAAGCTGGCAGTGTCTCAACGGGCAATGAAGCGGCGAATGGTTGGTGTAAACAGGCTTCAGCACAAGAAAAAGAAGTTGGGCTAGTGATGTAGCAAGGATGTCAGACAACCGATGGACGAAGCGGATAATGGATTGGTACCCACGCGCGACGAAACGAACACTGGGGAGGCCGCCAGCACGAAGCGAGATCCAATCGTGCGCCTTTATGGTGCCACCTGGTCTCGTCAGGCTCAGGATCGATCGAAATGGAGAAGTTGCCAACTGATCGATGGAGCGACATCAGAGATCGATGAAACAACAGCTGTTCAAGGAATCCAAAATATTCAAGGTATGTATACATAAATTACCTAGTGCAGTTATAAGTGGATTGGAATCCCGAATTCAGTCCGAGTCACTAACAGTAAATTGTGGCTCAGTTACTGACAATATGTGTAAAATACGTTATGAGCAAAATATGGATAGATTGCGGGAAATATGAGTGCAGCTTAAAATTTGTTTTGGCTTTCTCATGCAAGGGCATAGTTGCAAAGAAATCTTCTTCAAAAATGTCACTTTTCAACGGATGGATTTCTGATTTTTTCTTCTCTGGTTTTTAAGAGTTATCCCATACGGTA